GAAACAATCAATTGTAAGCATAATGTAAATATGTATGAAAGTTCTAGGGCAGGGCAGTGCAAACAGGTGTGCTATTCCCAGGACATTTTTTGTCTTCTTTCTGAAGATTTCTTTTTATATGTGTGCTCATCAAATTATTTGTTGGGTGTCTATTATGTGATAGGCACTAAATTATATTCTGGGGATATATTCTGGTGAACAGAACACACTGGGTCCCTACCTTCTTGAAGTTTATAACCTGATGAGGATGTAGAAAATATGCAAGTAAAAAAAGCAAATATATAATCCAAACCATGGTTAAGGCGAAGAAGGACGTAAAGAATACTGGGAGAGAGAAATCATTAGCTGTGGTTACCCCTGGGGAAAGCACAAGTGTGGCCAGAGCATAACAATGTTACTTTTCATTGTGCCTTCTCTACTCTTTGAATTTCTTTTACCATAATTTTGTATTGGTTTTATAAATAAAAAATACAGTTAGAGAAAAATCGATGTCTGATAAGTCATAATCTCAGTAAGCCTTGCTTTTCTTTGTTGTCTGTGAGGAACTGTGAAAAGGTTCAGATGATCCCGTGTTAGGTATAGATATATTTGTGAAGTCAAAGTAAAGTTGAGAACATCTGTATTCCCATGTTGGGGGTGATGTGAGAAACGGTGAGCGGACTCAGCTGCACCCGAGTCCAGGCACACTGCCCCTACTTCCACGGAGAACGAGCTGGGTCGTCGACTTCTAAACCCCAAGAGAAACAGTTTCATCTGGGTTCGAGGCTGCCAGGAAGTTATCACGGTCAATCTGGTTACCCTTGAGAAACAGCAGCCGATAAATTACTTTTAATTAAAAAGGCAGCATCAAGAGGACTAAAATCCATGATTCATAGAGTTCTAAACCTGCAGAAATGAAAATGAGGCAGAGGGAAGAAGAGAAAAGCTGTAAAGCTGAGTGAGAAACAAGAGGTGGCCCATTAACAAGAGTCAGTGGTGATAAAACTCACAAAGCAAGAATTTTAGAAGTGGGGGAAGGATTGAATGAGCAGAGAAGCCACAGAAGAAAAAGGTGCCAAATGGGTTTCTCTCATCACTGAGTGGCAAACCAGGAGTTTTTTTGTTTTTTTTTTTAAGCCAGTAATTGCAAATGGAACATGTTTTCTTTTCCTGTAGTTAAATAAAGGGAGTGGGCTGTGAAATAAAAAGGTTTGGCTGGCTGAGAAGCACATCATAGGGGGGAAAATGCCTCTTCTACACACTGTCTGGGGAACCAAATGGGAAAATTGTTCCGTGTGTCCCAATAGCTCTTTTCTTGTAGGAGGGCAACGCAGCTTCTCAAGAGGGCTTCTAGAGAAAACAACCTGGCATTGTGGTTCCCTTTCTCCCTCTCGTTTGGGCTTGAAATCTGAGATTTCCAAGTTGTACCTAGATTCCAGCAACGACCCACCCCTCCACCCCCGAATGTCTGCATTGCTCTTTCATAAAGCACTTGCAAGAGAGTGCCTTGTTGTTCTCTTTAACTCGATAGAGTTCATACAGCGTGATTATTTGAGAGTGGACTCGTTTATGGCTTAGAGAGAGCCTGTACCCACCACTGGAGTAAAGAACTTCAGTTGCCCTTTATCCAAATGCATACGGCGCAGCCTTACCGTCGGTGTTGTTTATAAGTAGCTGCAGCAAGACCCATAGTTCTGGTAGAATAAGAAGGTTTTCAGTTGAAATTGAGAATGTTTGACATCATCATTTTGCAAATAGAATTAATGGCAGCCCTAGCTGGGCTAACCGACTGTCCTGGTTTGCGGGCGCCTGAGCAGGTTCCCGGAACGGAGGACTTCCAGTTTTAAAATGGGCCGATCTTGGGCCAGCTGGGAAAAGTCGTCACCCTATTAATGCTGAGTGACATGCATAATTCTCTCAAAAAGGCCCACAAAGAATCAGGCATTATTGCCCCATGTTTCCAGTAAGGGAACCGAGGCTGAGAGGCTAAAGCCACATATCTTGCAGCAGCTAACTGGTGACAGAGCCTTTCCCCAAGGCCAGCTATGTCTGGCCCCAAAGCTTGTGCGGCAAATAATGCCACTTCGGATGGGCTTTCGATATCCAGATTTAAGAAACTGCAAAAAGAAAAACCAGAAATTGCCTTGTTGTTCTTGAGATTAAAACCATACATATTCTGTGGCTGTTCTGGGAATGACTATTATGTAGCTTTGGACTCTTAAACAGGCAAGGGAATGAAGAATCATCCAACTATTGAATTTTTGCTTATATTTTTAAGCTTAGAAAAGCAGACTAAAATATAGAGCAGAGCATTTTCTGTGTATAATCTTTAATAACCTTTTGTGAAATCTTGCCAGGAACTCTAAAGAAAAGCAGTTGCGCTGTTTGGAAAGTTGACATTTTCATTCTGGAAAGCTCTCTTACTGCCTACCGGTTTGAGGGGAAAGCCGCTGTCAACTTGGCTCATTTCAAATAAAGCTTCTGCGTCTCCATTCCATGCCCCGTCCTCAAGGCTTGTATGCAGCAACACCCGAAATGCAAATCAGATGGAATCGGCCTCCTAATTGCCGCACTTTTCTTTAGGAGACAAAATTGGTTGTGGGACTTTAGGAGTTCTCTGCTTTTAGGGAAAAATAAACCCATCAAAGTCACTGCTTGCCCTGGTGCCAGTTCAGGCTTGGAAGAGCTGAGAGTAAGACTAAATCCTTAAAACAGCATTGACTTCTGGTTGTTCAAACAAGGGGGCATTGACAAATGCAGTGTGCTCATTCATTCATTCATCCACTAATTCAGCCAAACTTCAATAGAGAGCCTGCTCTGTCTCAGATGGTGCCAGGCACTGGGAACATGAAGAGAACAATGAAGTCCTAGCTCATGACATCAATGGACAGGACTAAAATTGCATATAGACAAAATTATCCCCTAAACGCCCCTCAGATCACCCATAAAGTATTCTTAGGTCAGGTTCCCTAGAAGCCGAGCCCAAGACAAGGATTCTTGTGCAAGCAGTTGATTGAAAGAATAGTCTCAGGTGAAGCCTATATGATAGTAAGGGAAGCAGGAGGGGCAGAGGACCCAGTTCAGTCTTATATGAGCTCTGCTGAATCCCACACGGAGCCTGATCCCACGGGGGCTCTGGAGCATGAAGATGCCATAGATTTATATCCCCTCAAGGCAAAATGGCCAGCCTTTTGTATCCCCAACAATCAGACATTGGCTTTGGGCTGTCTCCAGGAATTAGTGTGTGACCTCTGTCGCATTTCTGAGCAAGGTGGCTCTGATCAGATGAGGGCAATTCTCAAAACGTGGGTGCTGCTGTGAGCAGTTAGCTGCCAAAACTCAAAGCAGTTGGGGGATGGATGCACCAGGCACGTAAAGAGAATCTGGAAGGGGCATCCCCAGCAGCTACTACACAGGATTTATGTGACCGGCTACAAACTACAGATCATTTGTTAGTAAATCAAACAGGCCAATTTATTTTTCTCCAATAGCCCCATAGTCCACCATGTCTTTGGATGCACTACAGATAAAGTTAGTTGTCTTGTATGCAGGGGTCATATTATATTAAGAACATGCATCTGTCCACACTCACACCCAGCATGGGGAGATGCTCACGTCCTGGGAGATGCTCCCTCAGATCTGAGGCTGACCGTGTCTTCCAGGAGGCAGACGTTGAGATGTCATTATACAGGATGCTTATTGGGCATCAGCCCCTGTGGTGAGGAGGGATGGAAGCAGGAGTGGCCAGAGGGAGGAGGTGAGCCAGCCAGATGCAGGCTGAGCAACAGCTGCAGCTGACCCCACCCCCTGGGGACCTCTAGAGCCTAGCGTCTTGTCAGAGCTGGCCTGCTTTGTGCCAAAATGTCCAGGCCTTTGTACCCCCACATTGGGCCACCCTGGCAAGGGCAGGACCTGGGGTGAGGTGGCTTTCTGCAGCTGAGCACCCCAGGGGGACACCTGGAAGTTATTTACTGACTACGCTCCCAGGAGCTAGGCAGCAGGTCTTCCTGGACTGAGGATTGGGCGGCACCCGTCTCTGTCCATCCACTGTGGAGGCGACTCCTGTGACCCCTCCCGCGCTCACTCCAAGCAGTTGAGCAGAATGGGCACAAGATCACTCCCCACTGGTTAAAGTTTACTCTTGAGGCGGGACACATGTAGTTGAAGAACCTACATTTTAGTCAGTACTTTAGTATTTAATACGAACTCGGGACTTTTATCAGTGGTTTATCTTCACTTAGAAGTGGATAATCTGTCTTACTTTTTACTTACTATACTTACTAAATCTTTTTGTGGTCATTTTTTTTTTAAAGAGTTTATTTATTTGGCAGAGTGAGAGACAGCCAGAGAGGGAACTTAAGCAGGGGGAGCTGGAGAGGGAGAAGCAGACTCTCTGCTGAGCAGGGAGCCCAATGTGGGGCTCCATCCCAGGCCCCTGGGATCATGACCTGAGCTGAAGGCAGACGCTTAACGACTGAGCCACGCAGGCGCCCCCGTGGTCATTTTTTTTTTAGTGACAGGCATTATGCTGAGTCCCTTAATGCATGACCTGATTTAATCCTTACAATAATCTGGTGAGGTAGGTACTATTAATATTCCCTATTTTACGGATGAGAAAACTGAGGGTTAGGTTAGAAAAAAACTTGCTCATGGTGGAATTATCTAGTCAGTATTTGAACCACAAAGTCTGTCTGGCTCCAAAGCTCCACTCCTCTGCTTTACTAAAGCTAACTGTGAAACCTTCCGCACTACCCCTTGATGGACCTTAGCGGTTAATGCATTCATTCGACAATGTTTTACTGAGCATGCCTTATGCCAGGCTCTGTGCTAGGTCAGTATTAGAGTTTCAACAGAGAAACCTTTGAAAAGGAGTATATATGCATGTGTTCTCGTGTGTTCTTCTTCCTGCCTCTGTGTGTGTGTGTGTGCACGCGTGTGCGCATTTATTTAACAATCTCAAGAGGTGAATACAAATTTGGATATTTTCCACTAACTCAATTCATGATGTTAAACTTTAACAGGCTAAAAGAGATGCTAAGCGAATGTCTGCAAAAGAAGTCACCATTAACGTTACAGACAGTATCCGACAGATGGACAGAAATCGAAGAATGGCAAAGAACTGTGTTAACTAGCAGAGTATTCTACTAGAAGGGTGGACGGACTTCTTTGGTGCCCTCCCCATGCTGGACCCCATCAAGGAGTCTCAAAGAAGTGGGTGGCCCTTGCTGGGTGTGAAGAATGCTGCCGCTTGAGACACTCTCTTACCTGGCAGGCCAGTGGCCGCCTGGGCTTTTGGGACATTCTCTGCCTCCTACTTACCACGTAGATGTATTGGCAACAGTACTTGCATAGGGTAACAAGCTGCAAATGTGCAGTTTGCCTCTTTGCAACTCCTGCAGTGTGGTCTGATGGAAAAGTGGTGAGCAAAAGCCACAGGTGGGTGATGAAACAGAGACAAGTAGGAGTAGGTTCCCTGGTGAGAGATGCTCACGTGGGTTCTAAGCTCCTGCCCGTGGTCGTGTGCACACTTGCGGGCCAGCTTGTTCTTTCATTTGTTCTTTCTGAATACTGCCAATACCGCCATCAGAAAGCTTACCGTGTTCACTTAAAAGTTGTTTTTCACCCAACTGCAAGTCCAGATATAGGAGAAATCACGAACCAGGAAAACCCCCAGCTCTACTTGTTTCCTTAGCTCGGTAGGAGACAGATTCAGATCCCCTGTCACACGAACTAACACCCCCAACACCCACAGCGTGTTTTGGGAGCTCTCCATGAGGCAGTCACACCCATTTCTCATCTGTCTTCCATGTCCCCCCCCATACCGGTGTCCACGTCAGCCTCCATACCACAATACCGTGGTCACCGTGGTCCACGCACCCAACCTGGGACGCCCCTCAGGGCTCAGCCAAACACTGCATTTACAGAGCTTTCCAGGTCTCTCTGCTTGTACTCTTGAGTGTTCTCTCCAGTTGGGTCGTTTGCAATTGTTGATCAAAGCACGGACACAGCTCACAAGAGGGCGATGATCCAGAACCCACCAGCAGCATACACGGCTTCGCTCTGGCCTCTCGACCACGGCGCCAGGACTGTGCCATGTGCTGTCTGTGAAGGAATTGCTTTAGAAAGCCTGGACCTGGTTGCCGTGTATTCACGTTGACATGAGACTGATGCGCCCTGTGTTAGACATCAGGGGTGGGGAAAATGTCTTGATAGATTAAAATTATCTAACATTTCTTTAAACATGTTCAGGTGGAAGTACTTCCTCCAAAGTAATGTAACATGATTTTTAAAGGACTGTTAACATAGCCTGGATTGGGAAAGGTAGGGCTAAAGATGTACCAGACGATACCAATAAACTCCATGTTTAGCAGAAATAGGCAGCCTGATGGTGTGTTTATATAATAAGGTCCAGAGAATTGACATGCCTAGATTACAATTTAGAAACGGCCTCATGACCTGCCAATTTTGTTATTCCTCAAACACAAGCAAATAGTGACCTCCCTCCTTCCCTCCCTTCCTTCCTTCCTTCCTTCCTTCCTTCCTTCCGTAGACTGTGTATTTATTAATTTAACATTAAATACCAACCCTGCACCAGGCACCTTGCAGATGTTGGGAGATTTGGAGTCTGGCCGGTCACACTTGCATATCCTGACTCTAACAGCGGACTTAATAACTAGGGGACTACCTTCAACCCTAAGGTTTGGGTGTGTTGTGAATTGTTCCGTAGTGGAACTCACTTTTACATTCAGAATAGGTTTCTCTCTTAAACCTGGATCTGGGCGTTCTCCTCATCACTGCACAAGCCTTTACCCTGCACAAAACTAGTTTTCCCAAACCTCCATCATTTTGAGGTTCTTTGAGAAAGGGCTTTTAGTGAACTTCATGTTCTGAAAATGAAAAAATAATGATAAAATAAAAGCAAAACCTGTGACTTCTATGGCCCCACTGGCATTACTCAGCAGGAGCCCCCAGCTGCCAAAGGTTGGCAATGATCCTGCACGTTCAAGGCTCGTTCTCCCAGGGCACATGTGTCGTGTTTCTGTGTGGGGTGTTCCTGCCCCCCCCCTTCATGTGCTATCAGTTGTGGACAACACCAGTTTCTCTTCACATCCTTGTTTTTGCCTCACTTAACTGCTGCAAGCTGTTTGGGATTTAACTCGAGACAGTGTCTGTTTCATGTAGAAACAAGGTCTCACTCCTGGGGGAGAAGGGAATGGAGGGCATATATGATCTGCCTCTCCCTGGAACAATCTGGATGTCACAAAGATAGTGATCAGAAGTTAAACCATGCTACTGGAAATTCATCTGGCAATTTTTTCATGTGTGCATGATACAAGAACTGATTCTCACGATCCTATTAACATAACTTTCTATTGCGAAGTTTGTGTCAATAAAGTCATCAATTTCAAGCATATGAGAGTCTTCACTGGAACCCTAAATTTATATTTAGGGCTGTTTAGATTTTTTTCTTCTTTGATAGAAAGGTCTTTTATATAAGTGATCTCTGTGAACCCTTCAAAAAGCCTTATGAAGTAGGTAAGGAGACCACTATTCTCCAATTGACAGTTACAAAAGTATTTATAGTCACTTAACTAGTAAGCGATGGAGCAGGGACTCACGGGAGAGAAGTCTGCCTGCAAATCCCGTGATTTTTCCAATATATAGCGTGGTGCCTTCCCTGGCAAGAAGGTCTAACGTGGCTGGGAGGCTGAGCCATTTCACAAGGTCTGAGAGGAAGCTGAGCCCCAGTCTGAGAGGGTGACAGCAGTGACTGAGGAGGGCTGGGGAGCTTGGGGAGTTTGGGTCTGGCCCAGGCTTCCTTATCCCTCCAGAGAGGGTGACCCTGACCTAGCTCAAGAGGGCATCTTTGGTGAAGGTCAGAAAGAGGAGAGACCTCACGATTTAGAGGAGCTTGAAATCACACCTGTCAGAAGAGCTGCTAAGACTTCAAGCTGAGAGGAACAGGGGACACCAGGAACCTCCCCGATCTGCCCAGGCCCCAAACGCTCCTTGGATGCACAGGCCAAGGACTGTACCTCCTCGCCCTGTCCTGCCATCACCTCCACAGTGTTCCCCGCTACCCCAGGCTACCTGAATACACTCCTGTTTGGACTCCCTGTTGAAGCCCTGTTAACCTTCACCTGCTAATGACCCTCACCAGCCCCGCTCACCAGCTACCCCACCTGCCACAGAAATGTATCCCATCCATGTTTGCTTCCCCAAGCAGGGTCACAAACCAGCAGCATCTCTGCCGGACCAGATGACAGACATGCTCTGTTTGTCTGTCATGGTGTTAAAACCCGAGAATTTCACAGAAAAAGCCAGCTCTGGCAGGGACTTCTAGTTTAGAACTCCAGTATCCATCCTCCCCTTCTTCCTTAGCTGGGTCCATATCCACTTAGAAAAAAGATTATATTTTTCAACCTCCTTCGCAGCTAGGAGTAGCTGTATGATTCAGTTCTGGCCAATGAAAAATAATAGTGGGGCATGGAAGCTTCCAGGAAGTCTCCTTGTAAAAGAATGGTCAGGCCCTTTCTTTTCTCCTTTTCCTTCCTGCTTCCTAAAATGAAGAGGTAATGGGTGGAGCCACAGCAGTCCGCTAGGTCATGAGGTGACCTTGAGAATGGAAGCCATGCTAAGCTGAGCAATAAATTAGAAGCAGCCTAGGTACCTCGTTCCACTGAGTCTCCATGGATTGCACTCCCCAGACCTCTTTTTGTGAGAAATATACTTCTACCTCATTTAAGCTACTGTTTCATGTCACTACTCACAGCCAAACCCAATTCTAGTTGATATACAAAGTTTCCATCTTCTTTTGAAAATTTGGGAGATCTTACACCTCTGGTCTCTTACTGCCCCTTGGCCACAGTTGGCCGCAGCTGATCAGGCTGCGTTAGCTGAAGTTAACAGTCTCTAGATGGTCATGGCCCCCACCACTCACTGTGGCTTCCACACAGCAGCCTCTAGATTGGTGTTGCCTGCCTGAGCCCTGAGACATTGGCATTTGCAACCCCTGCCCCGAATTGTGTTCCTAACGTGTTCTTTTCAGGAGTCATCAGAATATAGAAGGTCCTTTATTCCCGTCCCACCAGTCTGGGAAGCCAATCTCATAAGAATTTTCTGGGCAGGCAAATTACAAACGTGACTCAAGAGACACCTGGGTGGCTCAGTCAGTTAAGCATCTGCCTTTGGCTCAGGTCAGGATCCCAGGGTCCTGGGATCCAGCCCCACATTGGGCTCCCTCAGCAGGAAGCCTGCTTCTCCCTCTCCCTCTGCAGCTCCCCCTGCCTGTGCTCGCTCTCTGTCAAATAAATAAATCTTAAAAAAAAACCTAAACATGACTTAATATTTAAAGTTATGTGTTCACTCACACTTTCATTTACTCCATGTGTATTTATCACGAAGCTTCAATGTGAGTGAAGAATAAAACAGACCTGGCCCCCTGCCCTCATCAAGCCGGCATTCTGGTGAAGGAAACACAATAAAAACAAACGAAAAGAGGGCACCTGGGTGGCTCAGTCGTTAAGTGTCTGCCTTCGGCTCGGGTCAGGATCCCAGGGTCCTGGGATCTAGCCCTGCATTGGGCTCCCTGCACAGAGGGAAGCCTGCTTCTCCCTCTCCCACTGCCCCTGCTTGTGTTCCCTCTCTTGCTGTTTCTCTCTCTCTGTCAAATAAATAAATAAAATATATTAAAAAAAAAAACGAAAAGAAATAAATCACGATAATTTAAGATGGTGATAACTGCTGAAAGAACGGAGGGGCACCTGGGTAGCTCAGTCTCAGGCTCTTGGTTTCGGCTCAGGTTGTGATCTCATCATGGGTTGTTGGACAGAGAGCAGAGTGGGCCCCCCCTCCCGTGCTCAGCGGGGAGTCTGCTTGAAGAGTCTCTCCCTCCCCCCACGTGCACATGTTCTCTCTCAAATAAGTAAATCTTTTACTAAATAAATAAATACAAGAATATTAACAGAAGAATGGACTGGAAGGAGGCAGGAATGCAAGCAGGAGACCATTTAGGAGGCTCCCACAGTGGCCCTGGGGAGAGATGTTAGTGGCAAGGAGTAGGGTAGATGGATAGCAGTTTCTGTTTTGGAAATAGAAACATTTAAGATTTGCTGTTGGAATGGGTGTGAGA